ATCTGTTGTTTCAAAATTATTTAGGATAAATGCTAATTTGTTTTATTTCCACTACTAGTTTCTTTTGTTCATTGAAAAGAAAGTTTTGTTATTGTATTTGTTTGTTTCTTCTTTGTAAGAGTCTTTTTTTGTTTTGGGGGGGTTTTTTTTTGGTACCGGGGATCGAACTTGGGTCCTCAGCTTGCGAGGCAGGCGCCAGAACCACTGAGCTAAATCCCTGGCCCAGTAAGAATCTTTTTTTGTTTGTGACTTGTACTCTGAATAATATGTTGGCCATTCTTTAAAGATCATGATACACAGTGTACCGACCATTGTTGTTTTCTCAATATTATGTTATGAAATTTTGTTTTATTTTTTATAGAAGTGTTTTTATATTTTCTTTATTAATATCTACTTGTACTACATTAAAATAAAAATTTTAAACTTTTTAGAAAACTACATGTAGATTAATGGATCTATTGACTTTCTTGATGTTATATCTTCACAATTTTTTCTGTGAACTTCCTTTAAGTGTCAGACACTAGAAAGTCCCAGTTAGCTACATGTACATTCCCAAAAGCCAACCAGCTATTTTTCAGGAAAATAAAGAAAAAATGAGGAAAGATCATTAAAGGAAGTCAAGGCCACAAAAGAATTCTTATAACAGTACTACAGCATCCTGACCACCCACGGAAGCCAAGGCTAAAAGCACATCTCCTTGCCAACAGGGAAGCCAGTCACATACTGGCTACCAGTATGAAAAACTTCTACATGTATGGCTGTGTTTGCTTTTCAAGTCACTACTATGTGATTAAGTCACAGGGAGTATGATTCACATGTTCAAATGAAGGAAACAAGCCAAGCAGCCTAGCGCATATCTGTAATTCTCACACTTAGGAAACAGGATTGCAAGTTCCAGACTATCCTGGGCTACTGAGCAAGACCTTTTCATAGATAGATAGATAGATAGATAGATAGATAGATAGATAGATAGATAGATAGATAGATAAATAGACAGACAGACAGACAGACAGACAGATAGATAGATAGATACCAAAAAAAAATTTGAAGCACTTTCCTGACTTAAGAGCCACTATTCTTTCTATTAGCTTCTTCCATTCTCATTGTTCTGTCCTGGGGGCTGACACTCATATTCCCCACAAACATGCCAAAACAGTATGAGCAGGCCCTCAGTAGCCCTCCACTGGAGTACACTGTGAGAATTAAACCAAGTCAACAGAGGAAATTTACTTAATATAATGCCTGCAAGTCATGTACATAGTGTGGGAATTAAAATTTCTGTGTATATTTGTATATATAATTTATGTATTAGAATAGACACATACATTTTGTACATATATGGGTGTGTGTGCAAATTTGCCTAAGTATTCTAGCACACACACACACACACACACACAACCTGAACAGGGATAAACATATAGTAACAAAGTTAGCTCCAGTGGGACACCAGTCCTCTAACCCTAGAGTTTAAAAAATAAAAATAATGTGCAAAAAGTTCTTTCTTCAGTTTTCTCGCTGAGGAATCTTGGAGAGCAGATATGTTTCTTAAAAGTTCTAAGTCCCAAGCTAAAGTGGGAAAAGGCCGAGCTGTCTTAGGAGTGAACCAGAGGTGCAGGGCTTCCTAGTCCTTAACGCAAAGCAGAGCCTTTCTGCCTCAGCTTGTCTCATGACTCTCCCTCTGCCAGGGTGCTTTTGGAGGAGAAATGGGCAACCCAGTTTCGTGATTAATTCCCAGCCCAGCTCTTGGGCAAACGAGATTGTCTACACTTCTTGGAGGTCCTTTCTGAAGTTTAGGGGAGAAAATGAAAATTTTAAGCTAAAAGGAATATTCAGAAGGAGAGGGAGAGGAGAGGAGAGGAGAGGAGAGAAGAGGAGAGGAGAGGAGAAGAGAAGGGAGAGACTCTTCTCCCTGCGCTCCTCCCCTTCTGGGTAATTGACAGTCCAGCGTCTTCCCTGGGGCCGGTGCAGCCAGGAAGCCAACTAAGGCCTCGGTATCCTGGAGGATAGAGTCACAGAGACAGTCCTTTAAAGCTGCGGGCAGGAACAACAAGCTCCAGAATAGGGCCGGGGATGTAGCTTAGTGGCGCTGCGCCTGCCTGGCAAGAGCGCAAGGTCCTGAGTTCGATCCCCGGTACAAAAAAAAAAAAAAAAAAAAAGGATACAGAAGGCCATACTGTGAGTGTGAGGAGGAGTTGAAGGAAGAGAAAGCAGGAGGTTCCTCCGAGCGAGCCTGGCGGATTCTAGGGCGCGGGCTGGAGCAGGGAGAGAGGGCGGCGTGCGGGCTTCGTGCCCGAGCTCAGGGCCCAGCACCAAATCCGCGCGGTGCCGGCCCCTGGGACCTGCAGCGCCAGAGGCTGAGGGCACTGAAGCTGGGGCGGGAAGCCCTGGACCCCGAGCGAGGCTGACCTGGAGTTCGCATCCAGGAATAAGAGCGAGGTGGGGGCAAGGGGCACGGCCCGCGGCTGCCGTCTCTGGGTGTGGAAGATGCCCCGTCAGAGATCAGGTTCCCCGGGTACCATAGCGTGCCTACGGGATGCGCTCAGAGGAGGACGTTTAACGGGGAGGAGCGGCTCGGCTCCGAGGAACCCGCCGCGCAGACCCGGCCTAGGCAGCCCCTCCCCCGCCCCGGCGTCGCTCCGGCCTCACTTCGGCACTTGCCACCAGTCCCCGTGAGACTGCGACTGCGACACGCCGGGCTCTGGGCATCTGAGGTCCACAGAGGTAGGAGTGTGCTGCCCGGACCTTGGGAAGTGGCCCAGCAAGGACTCACTCTCGGTCTGGGCTCCCCAGGGCCCGTTCACTCATGCACACCGGCGTTTGCGTCTCTCCCCGGCCCTCGCCCGTGGATGGTAAACGCTGTACCCTGCAAGCGCACCCTGGAAAATACAGGCGCCCCTCCCACAAACGTCTCCGAGAAATGAAGGGACATAGCTCAGAGAGGCTCCGAGTCCGCTCCACGACGGCGACCGCGCGGGGGTCCGCAAGCCCCAGGGGACGGGTCAAGGTGAGGCGTTCTTCCAATGCCAGCGTAAAGCAAAGGCCGCCAGAGCAACTAGTTGGCTTTAGGACCTGCAGTTCCCGCGCTGGACGCTCGGGCCACCTGTTTGGACTGGGCCACCTGGCGTGGACTTTTGGGACCAGCTGGGCTTAATGTCTACATGACCCTATGACCTTCTTTCCCTCACAGCTGTGAGCAGACACACGCTGCCAGTTCGGAGACAGGCGAGGTTATGGCTCCTCTCTGAGAAGTTCAGACGCAGGAGAGGGTGACAGCGCATCTGAAAGCCTGACCGGGCAGCATTAAAATCAAACATTCCTGAGTTTGCCTTGGCTGAGGGTGAGACTATCTTTGGGCACCCTTCCCCTACCACTTCCCGCCAAAATGGTCTCCTGGGCTGGCTGATCAGCATAACTACACAGCCCGAAAGTGCCTGCCATGGAAACACCTACCTGGATCGCCCAGGCTGGCGCTCAGCCAAGGCTCGGCTTTCTTCCTGGCGGTATGATTAAGTTAATGGCCACACAAAAGAAAATACAGGGGAGGCCTCAGTGTCTGCATGGATTCTTCTGGAAAATGTGATTCTGGACTAGGAAAAGGCCTCTTCCAAAAAGTAGCATTTGCTTATCTTTTTGCAGACCTTGGTGCATTCCTGTCTGGATTCCCAGTAGATAATGATAAAGAGATTCCAAGAAAGACAAGATGGAAAGGAAGAGGATAGTCAGGTGTTTTGGGTTTTTCTTAATTAGGCCCCAGCACAACTTGCATTTGTTCGTGTGGAATAGCTTTTTGCTCCAGAGATCCACTAGTGTTCCATGCACAAACAATGTAGTCAGCCTGTCAGGTAATGTGATTTAGAACTCCCTGGAGACCCAGCTTCTGTTTGCCCTCAAATGCCTTCCTCACTTCTTGCCATCCAGTTTTCTCCACTGTCAATCTTGGTCTTTCTCTAGAAAGTCCCTTTCAGGTTCAATGGGCTTACCCACTGGGAAAACCAAGTAGAATATGCCTCACTCATTTTACAGATGAGAAAACCAAGCCAAAGGTAAATCAGTGATGTCAACAGGAAGCAAGGTCACACTAGCCAAGAATAGCAGGGGCAGAACTGGAATTTTGGACTGTTCTCACCTCATCTTGGGGATGAGTGTAACAGGTCATCAAACTGTTGCTTAGGAAAACTGAAAGCAGGCCTCAAAGGTAGCACAAAAAAGTATTTGAATGACCCTAAGAAAGCCAACCTACTTTTTCACCAACTTTCCTTACATTCCCTGTAGACACATGCTATTTGCCCAATGCCACCCCCCCCCCAGTCCTTTCTATTTTTAAAATTTTGAAACAGAGACTCATTAAGTTGCCCAGGCAAGACTCAAACTTCAATCTTCCCACCTCTGCCTCTCTCAGTACTGGGATTACAGGCATGTGCCTCCTTGCAGGGCTCCTAAGTCTACTCTGTAGCTGCTATCTACTATAACTTGTTTTGTAGTGGCCTAAGATAAGGAAGGCCTTAAAATCCTTTTAGGAAAAGGCATGGGAAAGAGACCTCTAATAAGACCTTAAGTAAATTTTCCATTTCAGATCTTTTCATAAGTGTCTTGCAGGCATAGGAAAGATCAGCAGAACGGCAGAGGAGGGAGAAAGGAGAATAGCTCCCTCCTACAATGGCTAAACCAGTGCCTGTTTCTAGAGCATCCATAGATGGCCATGGGGACACCCAGGGGTTATGAGCACACTATGTATCATAAGACCTAAGGCCCCATTCTACAGATGGTTTTACGCCCGATAGTTTCTGTACAGACCACATACACTAACACAAATACCCTCTATTTAACTAAGAATGAACTGTCTTTGACCAAGAAGCTCAACACTTTCCAGCCAAAGATTTTCCAAGCAATGATCAAACAATCTTTCAGGCACACAACTGGATTGAATGGTATCTACTCAAAGTGTAGCACTTAGTTACAAAAAAAGTTAAAAACTTTTCAAAAAGTTGCTTTGAAGAAAATAGTCATTTATTGTCAAAGCATCCAACATACCCAGATAAACTATAAAGTTTAATAAATCTTTCCAGGGATAAAAGAAACACATAACTATTCAGACTCCATTTCACTGACACAAAATTACACTTTGTATTAAAAGGAAATACATATTTACATAATTGATGACATTCTTCATTGAAGTCCATAATCATTTCATGATACATGCACTTCCCCCTGGAAACTTCAACTGAATGGCAACCCCTTTTTTATTCGTTTTGTTTATTTTTGTAAGAACACAAGCTATCGAGAAATGCAGAAAGCATCTCACCTTCCTCCGTTACTTTATATCTAAAATAAATTTTGCCCTTACATATAATTATTACATCTAAACCGTAAGTGCTTAATAATTTAAGTAGAAACGTATGACAAATGCATCAATATGTTGCAATATATGACATTTTTTAAAATGTACCTTTTTTGGGAAAGTGAAAATGCGTGCATTCAAAAGAAAACCCCCCTCCAACCACCCACCCGGTCAAAAATCCACCATCCTGTCGCGCGCGTGCGTGCGTGCGTGCGTGCGTGCGTGCGTGTGTGTGTGTGTGTGTGTGTGACTGTGTGAGCGGGTGCAGTGTTTACAGTGCGAGGAAGTGACCGGTGTCCTCGCGAGTTTGCTCCTGCAGGTGGCTTGACTGCACGCGCGCGCTTGGACAGCTGGGGTCGTCTCCGTGTCAGTTGTGCGAGGTCATGTGCCTGGACAGGTGGTGGCGCTCCCTGAAGGACTCGTTGCAAATGGGGCACTTGAGTTTCTCCTCCCGTCGCCGCTTGACCAGCGGCTCCATGGCGTACTCCTTTTTGTGGTGCGAGCGCATGTGGTACACCAGGTCGGAGGTCATGCGGAAGGAGGCGTTGCACTTGGCGCACCAGTTCTGCGCGGGCAGACACAGCGAGGTGAAGGAGGGAGGCAGCAGCGTGAGCGCTGCGGGCAGCTGCAGCTGGAGGGGCCCGGCCGCTGCCGCCGCCGCCGCCGAGCTCTTGGGCCAGAAGGCTGTGGCGTAGAGGAAGGGGCTCTGCTTGGGCAGCCCGCCGCCGCCGCTCGCCAGCGCCCCGCAGCCGCCGTTCAGGTCCGCGGTGCCCTGCAGCTTCACAGCCAGGGGTTCGGCGGCGCCCGGGTACAGTCTGGTGGGGCCCACGCCGTCGGCGGGGTGGCACGGCTCGAGCGCGCCCAGCTTCTGGCCCAGCACCAGCGGGGACAGCTGCGAGAAGGAGCGAGCGGGCTGCGAAAAGGCGCTCTTCCGCTCGTCCGGCATGGAGCCCTGGCCGCCGCCCGCCGCGACCCCCGCGCCCAGCTGCGGCACCGATGTGAAGGCGCTGCCGCCCTCCAGCCGGCCGGGCAGCGCGCCCGCGGGTCGCGGGCCCAGCAGCTTCTCGGTGCCCGCCGGGGACGCGGCCGCGGGTGTGGACGCGCCGCCCCCGCCGCCGCCGCCTGCGTCCTGGTCCTCGGGCGCCGCGCCCCCGCCGTCGGCTGCCGCCTCCTCCTGCAGCCCCGCAGCTCGCGCCGCCTTCTTCACCTCCACAAAGGCGCTGCGCTTGGCCTCGCCGGTCTCGGGGCTGGGCGGCGCGAAGAGGCGGCCGCCGTCCTCCAGGCCGAAGTAGCTGCCTGAGGCTCGGTACTGCTGAGGCGTGCACACCAGGTCCTCCTTGGAGGCCGGCGGGGGCCGCTCGGTCAGGTGGGCCCGGCCCCCCACCTCCGCCACCTCCTCCGGGAACTTCCGCTTTCCTTTGCAGCCGCCCGCGGCCGCGCCGTCGGGACTCAGCTCCGCCTCCTGGTGGCCGGCGCCGCTGCAGCCGCCGCTGAGCCCCGAGGCCGGGGAGCAGCTGCCGCCTCCCCGCGAGTTCTCTAGCTCCCGGGCCAGGTTATGGAAGTCCGTGGATGGCTTCGCGTTGCTGCTGCTGCTGCTGCTGCTACTGCTGCTGCTGCTGCTGGCGGAGGGGGCTGGGTTGCTGCTCTCGGGAGAGGGGGTCGGGTAGTGGTGGATGGGGCCGGCTTTGCAGAACTTGGGGCCCTGACCCAGGGATGCCTCCTGTTGCTGCTGCTGCTCTTTTCCCCCGCCGCCGCCCCCGTGGTCCTTGGTGCCCACGCCGCCGCCTTGCTCTTCCAGGGGACTCAGATCGGCGCTGTGAAGTCTCTTGGGGCAGCGGAAACGCAGATGCGCCACATAGGGAAACTCAAACTGGAAGCGCTGGCTGCATTCCAGGCATGAATAAGGGGACGACCCTGCTTAGTGAGCAAACACCACACACAGGCACACCACACGGTTACTCAGCATCGCCCGGTCCACTCTGCCATCATCCCCTTCGCAAGCCACCTTCAGCTCCGAGAAAACAGACTATCCGGCCTGATCTAACTCTCCTTCCTGACCTGGGGGAGTGCAGTGACCAAGCCAAGCGCACCCCGACTTATCCTCCCCTGTGTGTCCCAGCTTCATTCCAGGTTGCCTCCCAGGAGATTCCTAGGAGAGCCCCGAGGAAAGAAAGGCGCCCCAAGGCGCGGGTGGCCCCGCCTCCGCTCCCTGCTCCTCTCCCCAGCCCTCGAAGGGCCCACGCGCAGGGTGCGAGCCAACCTACCATTCAGTTTGCTGTGGGATCGAGAGGGGCAGAGCAGAAGTAAGTCAGTCAGTTCTTTCCCGTACCAAACTAGTAATTCCTCGTCTTTGGCGATCCTGCGGAGAGAGCGGTAGAACAGCTGTCCGTTTTTAATGTAGGCTTCCAGGTTCTGTTCTTCTCTGTCTCTAGCCGACTGGACCAGCCGCAGCCACATGAGGCCTTCGGAGGAGCCATTTGCCGCTGAGGTGTCTACCTGCAATTTTAAATAGAAGAACGTAGGAAGGAGGAGAGGACGCCCCTGTGAGAAAACGAAGCCAGACCAATAGGACCCTTTCCTCTCTTTTCCAGAGAACTATCTGAGACCAAGCTTCCAAAACTTGAGCCAAGTTGGGACACAAACCTATGCTGTGAACCAGTAGGTGAGATAACGATCCGTTTGAAACATTGCATCAGTTATATAGATTAAGTCTTTTTCCTATATTGGCCAAACACCAAATTGAAGAGATTTCTTCTTAAAATGTAAAATAATGCTAGCCTCTTCCGAATTTACTTCTAAATTCTCCCACAGCACAAAAGTAAGAGGAATTTTGTTTCAGAAGTAAAGTGCAAGTCTAGATCTCAGAAATTACTCCGAGGCAGGCATCTTCCTCATTTTGGCTTGGACAGTTAATAGCTTTTCTTTGTAAAGAAAGAACAGAAAGTGAGAGGCCTGTTGTCTTCAAACTCAAACATATGGATTTAATGATGCTTCGCTGTCAAAACAATTAACATTTTTATTTAAATAACAAACTCTGGGCACTAGCTAATGTTACCAAAGAAAGTAACATTCCGAAGATGAGGCGGCCTCCTAGGCTGGAAAGCAAATATGCCCAGTATTTGCAAAAGTACTTTCGGAAAGCACTTAGTGTGCAAAGGACCTCAGCGCAGAGTTTAGAAGGACAGGAGGAAGGAAGACTCAGAACTGAGATACCGATTCCCACCTTTCTAGCATTCCAAAGGAGACTTTGTCATTTGTTCCAGAAAATCAGTTGACAATCATTTGATGCAATTTTTATCTTCTCGTTTTGGCATTTAAGCTGAGACTGCCTGCATTGTTGTATTTTCTACATTCAGAACCTGTTCTGCTTGTCATGAGAATGATTCTTATTCCATTTCCAATAGGACATTGCCCTCATACACCTACACAGCATGGGCCAGCACTTACCCGGAAGATATAAGGTACTGTTCTCTTGTCGGTGGACTTGAGAGCTATGAAGGCTATGCTGTCATACAGGGAAGTATGGCTCAAAACACAGGGACCAAATATAGCATTCTCGGGGATGTCGCAGGTTGTGTAAACGCTGGTAAAAATATCTGTCAGGCATTGTTGGACAGCCTTGGCATCTCCATCCCAGATGCCTCTCTGGATGCCTGAATCCTCCATCACTACAGACAAATACACAGGACAGAGAAGTGGGTTATGTTAACATATATATCTCACCTCTGTGAACCCCACAAAGAACACTGCAACTCCAAGACAGATATTTTTTGTTGCACATGCCTGATTTTTGCAAAGCACTTATTTTAAAAATAAAGCAGTCTGACCTAAAATAGTTCAAAAATATCAACTCAGGAGTGAGCATTTTCCTTCCCTTTTAGATAATCAGAATAGTGGGAGACCCAGAGCCCACTGAATGCTTGACAGAAAAAAGAACAGACTAGGAAAGACCAGATCATTTTTGCATCATGTTGGCAATGGATGACTTTGGGGATGAAGATGAGGGGAGAATAGTATTATAGTTTTTCTACCAACCAACATAGACTTTCCTGATAGAAACTTCTAACCCCTGGGGAAACACTCTTTTCCTATGCATTGAACTGGATGCCCAGGAGCTCATTTTTCCCTTTCTTCCAAAGAGGGGAGCAGCATTAGCAAGTAGGCGGAGACAGTGGAGCATGGCGAATGGATTTCAAGTGGAGTGTCAGGGCCACTAATTCCATGTCAGCTAACCTTTCTCTGCAGCCTACAAGAAGGGACGTATGTCTGCTCATTACCATAATCCAACACTGTCCCTCAGAGGCTTTAATTAAAAGCAGCAAGCAGAGGTAATTATTTTTTTCTCGACATGCTTATTTATGGATGAGGGTGAATCCCAGTTACCTTGTTATACAAGAGGGTGGATAGAGTCACATGTGGCCCATGCAGTGAGCAGGTATTGGGCAGGCCTGAACTGTCCCCTGTCTGAAATACTGTGTGTAATGACTGGCAGATTCTCACCTGCCCAGACACAACCCTGTTTGGGCAAGAGGGGGCAACCCTGCTTGAATAGTCCTTCGTGGGCTCTCCAGCTGTTTAAACTGCAGCAATTTAGAAAGTCATACCCCAATGGAGGGCTCTCTATTAAGGTGTCATAAGGGACATTTTCCTTCCTCTGTCACTGGACACTGCCTTACAAGGCACCATTTTTAAAAGAAGGCAGGCATTTAAAATGTTTAAACTAGCTTTGAACTGCCTGCATTGTTTACTCTTTCCAACTGATCAAAAGGTTCCTCCAGGTTGGTTTTTCCCTAATCATGTCATTATTGGCAGTGATTTATGTATGTTTCCTATAATATAAGTGGTAGAAAAGAACAGACTTATTTTTTTCTGCAATGCTGTTCACGAACTCATTATTAGTAATTCCTATTTTTTATCTTAATGTGTATTAACCAATTAGTCTAGCAACTGTGATTACAAGGTAGTGCTTATTTTGTTTGTTTTCTTCCTTTCCAGCTAACAGAACCTCAAACTTCGGGCAGCCTCTTCCCGCATTCATTCTCTTGTATGCCCGCCCTCATTGGCAAGTGTTGAGCCATATCTGCCAAACAGCAAAAATAAGGAAAAGATCCCCAAAGTAGAAACTTTAGTATACTGTACCATCTATCCTTGGACATTTTTACCTCTCACCAATCAGCCTTCCCGATTTCCAATCACAAATTAAAATTCACTAAAAAAATAAACCAGGACCGCTCGTCTTTTCAAAGGAATCCTCCTATTCCCTTTTCAGTTTCCTCTAGATCAGCGTTTTATGCCCTGATTTCTGTCTTCCCTTAAAAGTCTTCACACAAGCGTTTCATTGTGCCGGGAGGTCGCCCATCACTTCAGCCGACAGAGGGACGCAGTCATTAAAATGCAGTTCTACCTAACAATACGGTGAAAAGGTCCTCGCTGGCCGCGCTCTCAGCGGTCCGAGGCGCCGGCGGCCTCCAGGAGCCTCCAGCCGCGGTCACAATACCCGCCGGGGCGGGAGCCGGGGCTGCTCGCCCACGCTGTCGCCTTGGCACCCAGCCGCTCCCAGCGCCGCGTCCCGCGCCAAGCTGTGCTCTCGGCGGCCCGGGTTCCCTGCCCCAAACGCGCGCCAGGCTTGGGAAGCGGCCGCTGGGGTCCGAGACGAGCCCGCCCCTCCAGGCAGGCATTGTCTGGCGGCTGCGCGCTCCTCGGCACCGGGCTTCTCGGGGAAAGTGCGTCCTACACACTCCTCCCTTTGTATACTCTTCTGGGCAGGAGAGGTCCCCTTAACAATCATTTCCTGGGTCTTTTGAATGAGGAGGGGACCGGGCACGACGTCTTCCAGTCTTCCCATCAACCTACCTTCCTCCCATCCCCCTCCCACAGCATTAAAACAGACAGAGCAGACTTACCGGGAATAAGGTCAGGATCCACTCGCCCAAATAAGGCCACCTGGAGCGGGGACACTGCGATCGAGGGTCTCTTTCTGCCTATTGTATCAGTGTATTTCCATGTCAAGGGGTATTGCAGGTCTTGTTAGGCTCTGCTTAAAGAGAGAAGATAGAGATGGAGAGATGGGGAGAGGAAAATCAGGGGAGAGTAAGGAGGGAGGCAGAGGAGAGAGAGGAGAGAGGATAGAGAGAGAGAGAGAGAGAGAGAGAGAGAGAGAGAGAGAG